ATTTCAAAGGGAGCGGGCCAGGAAGCGCCGTCAGAATCGGTGGTCTGATCTGCGCTAGAAGGTTCCTGCTGTTCTGCAGCAGCGGGGACGGGCTGGGCAGCTCCATCGCCATTGATACTGGCCAAATTGGAATCAGAAACAAAAACATCGCATCGTTACTACAGTGAACTTTATGAAACGGTCTACCAGCTTTTAAAAACAAAATTCCCCAATCAAGCATAAATCTCATTAAAGAAATGAATACAAGACATGGAAAAGGCAACAGTACCACAGGTGCAACACTTAAATTATTCCTTTTGTGAGCTTAAGATTAAATTTCAGATCAGAATCTCCCTTCTCTGCAGGTAGAAACAAAGAAGGAGCCAGGTACCTGTAATACAGAAACTTGGAGAGAATGGCCTTCTGATACCAGTGCTCTTTGCTCTTCTTCTTCCTCTGCCACTTCTGATCGATGAGTCTTTGATAAAACTCTTTCAGCCACGTCCAGTCACCAGTCTGAGTGACCAAAGAAAACGATAAATAAATGATTACAAATCTGTAGTCAGAATAATTTGTTACCCACTGGTGTTTTACAGGAAATGTTCCATGTTTTGAATACTACATCCTAAACACACATTCAAACACGATCTTTCCACACTCAGTCTCTATCACCTCTTTTGGGAAACGGGCCTTCCTCCTCTCCCTGAGCCCGGCGAAGAGAGGCGGTCCTTTCTCAGTGCGTGGAACCAACCCAACACGCACACCATACTGAAATGACCGCTGTACGTGCGTTACCACACCAGAACTGTAAGCTGCCAGCCAGGGACAACGGTGATTTACTCGCGGTCACATCCCCAGAGCTTGAGCAGATATAGACTGAACCGCCAACAGTCCAAGTACAGAAACCAAAGGAGTCGGCCTTGAAAAACTGAAACGCTGCTGTTACACTTCATAAAAAAGTATCCACCATCAACACATCGGGGGTGGGGAAGAGGCGTTTATCAAGATACAGTTCAAGCAGCTGTGCTTTCAGCAAACCAATTAATTCCAACAACTATGTATTTATTGGAAAAACTAACATGTTTTACATGTCCTGGCAGTCATGTTCCAGGACAATCTCTTTAAGGGAGACAAAGGATTTTTCAAAAACTTTAACTATTCCCTTAAATTTCACTTTTTTCCCCCCATAACTTTCTTCACCCTTTTTCCTTGCAAGAATCCTGGCTGTTGGTTATGAGTAAATTTCTTCTTCGTTCACTCGGTCTTCTATTTTTCCCTTAGTGAAGCTTCTGTACGTTCTGTGAAATATCTTACTTCCCAGCTGCCGAGGTGTTGGGCCACTTCGAAGTGCGTGTCCCCTTCAGCCTTCCTCTGAAATGGCATTCCCCGTGCCCGTCTAGGATTAAAATAATGCTCTCAGAGCTGTTTTTCCAGAATAGTATTACCTGAGACGATCTCATGAAGAGTTCCTGAATATCCAACTCGTCCAGTAAGAGAGTCCTTCCAATGCGGTGCACGGCCATGCTCACGTGGGACTTGCTGTAGGGAATCTTCAGCAGCTTTTTTATGTTCTTTAAAAAATTAACAGAAAAAAAATCGTTTAAAAAAAAAGATGACGTCAGCACAATCTGAACTCTTTCAAATCTTAACTTCACTCAGTTTTAAAGCATAATAAACTTCATTCTCCTAAGGTTATACAAACTGTACTTGACACAAAGAGCTAAATACAAACACAATCACCTACACTTTGCCAGTCATACATTAATGCAAATGAGAGGGAAAGATTTATTTTTACACAAAGGAATTTCCTGAAGTGTGTACAGGTCACACTTTTGCAGGACCTAGGTTTTCAGCATATCAAATAAAACTGACCAAGTAAGGAGTGTTAGATTTTGCTGGAAGTATCATTTCTGATTCTCAACTGGTAACATATAAATCACCCCAAACATTACAATCACCTGTAATTGCTATTATAAAAATCCAACCACCAACATTACTATTATTACCACTGCCAGTGTTTGGAGCATGGCTCCCTCCTTTTTGAAAAAAGATGTGGCCCGAGGGTTACTTTATTAACAAAAGATATTCAACAATCAGATAATTGTAGCTTATTTCATCGGTAATTTTTCAAGACTACAGAACAGAGCGTGCTACAGAGCCCGGACCTAAACGCCCCAATTACAGTCCCCAATAAGGACACTTACTTCAGAGTCAGAGACCACGTCCACATCATTTCCCACAGAGTCAATAAAGTCATACGCCATTCCGAAGCTATGGGGGAACAAAGGCCACAAAGGTCATGCTCATGATATAGAAGGAGAGTTGATAAAAATACAGTATTTCATCACTTCCAGGATACACATTTTCCACCTTTTGACATCCACCCCTCAGATCAGTCTGCCTACGGTCATTAGAGTAGAATAGTTTTTCCTTCTTAGTGGCACATAGAATAATGATAGGACTTAAAAATCAATCACAACTTAGATTTGATAAAATAGTAGTGATCATTAGAAGCAATAGGAAACATCTAGAAAAAAAAATTAACAATTATTTTCTTTTTTGTAATTACAAATCCCAAAAAAATCCTCCAAGAGAAAACAGTTTAACGTTTATTCTTTTTAGGAGGGGAGATAAGAAAAATATAAGCAGAAACATTTATCAGGATTTTAATCTCTAGGAGTGTGTTGCACTCGAGTGTGATACACAATCAGTATTACTTTTCTAAAAGAAAAAAAAAAAAAAAAGAACCTGACACTAATTCAGCCAGAAGGAGAAAAGAAAAAAAAAGTGTTGTGTCAGGTACCACGTGAGGCACATCTATTATCTCTAAGCCTGGAAAGTAGCTGATGTCACCATATTTCAGTAAATGGCAGAGGCTCAGAATACTTAACCAGGACTGTCTCGCTCCAAAGCAAGCTGACAATTTACCGCGCAGGCTGGCAAGTACTTAACCTTTCTAAGCTTCAGTTTTCCCATGTAAAAATTAGTTAACAGAATTTACCTCAAAGGGCTGTTGTGAGAATTAAAGGAGATAAACATATAAAGTACTCAGCACCGTGTTTGCACGCAATCGACAGAACTAAAATTTAAATCACTTCATAATATTTGTGTTGACATGTAATTTAAGTTCTCCTAGAGGAAGGTATTTGGACTATTTCCAACTTTTTGCTATTATAAATGTTTTGTAACACTGCTACATTTTGCAAATATAACTTACCTTCTGAGGCATTAGGATAATTTCTAAACTACTAACCTCATTAGGTTTTTTGGGTTGTTGTTGTTTTTTTTTTTTTGAGAGAAGGAGAGAGGGATCCAGCAAATGGAAGGGCAGAAGGAGGGAGGGAGAGGGAGAGACACAGACTCTTAAACTCCCCGGGGGCTGGGTGTGGAGACGGAGGTGGGGCTCAATCCCATTAACCAAAGGATCATAACCTGAGCCAAAATCAGATAGCGAAACGCTTAACTGACCCGAGCCACCCAGCTGCCCCATAAATCATTGCCCCATAACTGGAGGTATTAATGCATTTGTAGCGCTTGCTGTATTGTTACATGGATAGATTTTAGGTTCAATCACAGAGAGGAAAAATAAGAGAATCCTACACGTTGAAAAGCCTACATGTTAGTATGTAGAACGTTAGTAGATGTTTCTCTGTAAGAATCCGGGCCACTCATCAGAATTTCCAGCAACCATCTCAGCAAGCGTCAGAGTGTAGGTCACACCAACATGCTGGGTTTGTACAACGGGGTTTTTCAGACCGTCCAATCCGCCACCATTTAATAAGAAACTCCCCAGGACAGACTAGGAAGTGTCACGGGTTTTCCTCCTAGGGTACCACCCCTGATTCCTGGCATTCACATACTCACAAGGTATGTAGACTGGCTAAAAATAAAACAGCTGATTGAATTTTAGTGGCCAAACCTGAGCTTGGTTGAGAACATGACGCGGCTCTGAAAGTAGATGCAACTGAGGTCTTCATACTATGTAACCCTCCTAGGAGGGGGAAGAGGACTCTGAAAGTCAAATACAACCTTTTTCTAAAGGGAAATCTCACCAAGATGGTGAGCATTACCAATTAAACTGAAAAAGCAAATATTAGGGTTCGGGGATGGATAGGGGCGGGGGTGCTGGGAGAAAGGTAAACACGCCACTGATGGGTATTTACCTTGAAAATGGCTTGCTTTTCTTACTATTGCCAAGAATGGTGGTTCCTGCCGGGCCTAGCTTGGCACTCTCTCGCAACCAGTTGGCAGGTGGGAGTTTCAAGTCTGTTTTCTCTTCCAGGCGTGCAAATGCTGTTCGAGGAGGGGCAGAAGAGTATTTCACCACAGCTCGGCTCTTCACTTCATTGCCTCCAAGAAATAAAGCTGATCCCTAATTAACACATTGGATGAAACTTGAATAACACTACTAGGAATTTAAAATGCCACTTTTAAGAAAAAGAAAAAGAAATCCCACCACATCAGGCTTCACAAGAATACAAGCTACATGTTTATAACAACAGGAGAGCCCAGCATAAACTGTCCCGTTTACATGGCTCTTTTTCGCATCATTTCAAAGGAAAACGTGAGTCAACGAGTATAAGGTTGATGGTTTATTAGCTAAGACAGTGGACAAGCAGAAACCAAGGAGAGTCAATAGAGCCACATTAAAGAAATGGGAAATTTGATAAAATCTCTGCTCATTATTAAAGACGTATCATTTTCAATGCAATAATATTTACAAAAGTAACTTGTGGGGCGCCTGGGTGGCTTAGTCCGTTAAGCGTCCGGCTTTCGCTTAGGTCATGATCTCGCGGTTCGTGGGTTCAGGCCCCACGTCGGGCTCTGTGCTGACTCCCAGCTCAGAGCCTGGAGTCTGTTTCAGTCTGTGACTCCCTCTCTCTCTGACCCTCCCCTGCTCACGCTCTCTCTCTCTCTCTCTCCTAGAAATAAATAAAAATTAAAAAAAAAAAGAATAATATTTACAAAAGTAACTTGTTATAAGATATCTGGGGCTTTTTTTTTTTTTAAGTAAGCTCGAACGCCCAACGTGGGGCTTGAACCCAGGACCCAGAGATCAAAAGTCAATTGCTCTACCGACTGAGCCAGCCAGGCGTCCCTGGGCCTTTGTGTTTGCAAGCAAACGTTTGGTAATGGATTCGTCAGTTCACTACACAATAGCTCCCAACCTTTAACTTCACAGGAAGGCGCTGGGGGTTCCTCACACTCTTGACTCGTACAGCCCCAAGCAAGCTCAGTGTCCGCGTTCACGAACCTCTCACGCACTCCCTTTTCGGCCCGGCAAACGCTCTGAACCCTTCGAGGATTATGCCGGTCCCATCTCGGTGAGCTCCGCCCCCCGACACCCTCTTTTCCCTCCAGCTCGGCATGACTGTGCCCCATTCTGGAACCACACATTTACACGTACGCTCGTCGAGAGCACAGACCGTGTGTAACTCACCTCTCGGTTACAACCGAGCGGAGAGTCAGAACTGCTTGCGATAGGGGTGACTTGCAAGCAAAAACCCGAATACCTGACGACAGACACAGGGGCTTCCACGCCGTTGGGGAGACTGCCCGGGAGGCGCGGAGAAGCCACCCGAAGCTACCGAGAACCGTGACATCGCTCCCCGGAGGAGCGGGCCCGAAACCCCCGGATTCCCTGCAGGTCCGCCCCAGAGCGGACTCACCTGTGCAGAAGATTCCTCGGATTCTCCCTGCGACAGAAGGCTGAGCCCTCCCCGAGCAGCGGCACCGGCCGGTGGAGACTCGGCCCCAGCCTCCTTGGAGTCCCCCATCGCCTCGACCCAGAGTAGGCGACGCAAAACAGGACCCGAGGAGCCGCGACAGAAACCGGGCCCGGCGGCCCGGAGCCACAGGAGAGCCAGCGTCTGAGACGCCCCGCTCACTGCACTTCCGGTTTCTGACCGGAAGGAGTTGCGGTGACGCGTTCAAATCTCGCGAGCTTTATGCCAGAGGCCCGGCTCCCCCTTCTCCAGTGGCAGCCACCTTTACGGCAGGGGCGGGAGCTGTAGTGCGCCTGCGCTCGTCGGAGCCCACTTCTCGCGGTATCTGATTCTCAGGCTCCGCCCCTCGCACCTCATCTTTGCAGGCAAACAGTACGGGGCTTGGGCTCTGGGTTGTCAGTTTCTCTGCGGTCTTCGTTGCGTGGGCGGGGCGGTGCTGGTGTCCATTTAACCCTGATTCCTGGGAAATGAAGTGGCGAAGTGTTAGCACTCCGTCCTTCCCAGCCGTCAGTGAACCCCTCAGCTTACAAACGGGCTCACAGCCCCAGGGAGGGAGCGAGCAGGCGCCCAGGTGAGGGGCGGACAGGCCCAGGGAGGGAGACAGCAGGTGCCCAGGTGAGGGGCTCCGCGTCCTGCCCCAGCATCACAATGCTGATGTGGGCCCGCAGCCCCAAGTTTAGCAGCGGCGAGGCTCCGTGGCGAGGATGACCCCGGCGCCTTTCCTAAAAGGTCGCATTTCAAAGGTGATGACACTAAACAGGTTTATGCACGGGGCCTCTTTTGACTCGAGGAGCTCCTGCGGAAAGCCCGCTATTCGTCAGGGCCCAGGGAGCTAGCACAGGGCGTTGGGGTGATCCGAGGGCTCCTCCAGCGTTAATATGCAAGGGAAACACCTGGGGATCTAGTTGACTTGCAGATTCTGATTCAATAGGTCCGGATTGGGCCTGAGATTCTGCATTTCTAACAGACTCCCAGGAGATGATGCCAGTGCTTTGAGTAGCAAGGAGGCAGAGAAGCAGCTAGGGCCGTGTGAAAGCTGGCGAGAGGCAAGTCCTCTTATGCTCAGACTCCGCATCTAATGTATCAAATGTAGTTAAATGCAGCCACATCCTTCGTAATTGCTGTAAAATATCGGAAGCATTTTGAAAACTTAATTTTACCTTGCGGTTATTTGGCTATCTTATAGCTCACGTTATTAGGCTCTGATAACTCGTTATGTGCATATTCACACGTCCTTGTGACTGGGAGCTCAACTTAAAAACTTTTCAAATGTAACAAAACATGGTTATGAGTTATATTTAACAATGAATTATAATAGTACATTTTGTAGGCACTTCAACATGTATTGATTTTGGTATTTATTATTTTTTGTATTTGTAGTCCTATTTTGCAGGGTAATATATTTATTGTAGTAAAAAATTGGACACTATTGGGGCACCTGGGTGGCTCAGTAGGTTAAGTGTCAGACTTCGGCTCAGGTCATGATCTCATGGTTCCTGAATTCGAGCCCTGCGTTGGGCTCTGTGCTGACACCTCAGAGCCTGAAGCCTGCCCTGTGTCTGTGTGTCCCTCTCTCTCCCTCCTCCACTCATGCTCTATCAAAAATAAAAACATAAATAATTTAAAATTGGACACAATTTAACTTACTAGCATTATGAAGATAGGTAACTCTCTTAGTATGTAATACCACTAACTTATGCAACTATTCTTTTTCATGAATGCTCAAGAACATTTAAATTGTGCATGATATGATAAATGATAACATTATAAAAAGCAAATATGCGTTATGATCCTAATTTTTAAAACATGTCTTTTTGTGTACCTGTGTCCATAAACACATGTCTGAGAGATAAGATGAAGTGATTTAAAATTGATTCCTTAAAGTTTTCTTTACTTTCTTTCTCAGTATGCATTATTTTATACAATATAATTCTTATTAAACTTTTATTTATTTTTATTTTTTTTAATGTTTTACTTATTTCTAGGAGAGAGAGAGGGAGACAGTGTGAGCAGGGGAGGGTCAGAGAGAGAGGGAGTCACAGACTGAAATAGGCTCCAGGCTCCGAGCTGGCAGTCAGCACAGAGCCCGACGCGGGGCCCGAACCCACGAACCGCGAGATCATGACCTAAGCGAAAGTCGGACACTTAACCGACTAAGCCACCCAGGCGCCCCTAAACTTTTAAACATGTATAGTTTAGCTTCTCATAATCTTTAAATTCTGTTTTATTGTACAATTTTCTGTAAGAAGGGATTATTCTGAGGTAGCAGTAATTCTTTTTTCAGGACTCAAATATACTGCAGTCTTCTTGAGAAGTAGGTTCCTGAAGCCTTGGTGATGTTGCTTTAGTAGAAAAATGTGCTGGAAATGGCCTATGAAAAGGTAGAGAGGAATGAAACATAGAGAGCCAGAAATTCAGTATAGAGGGGCGCCTGGGTGGCTTAGTCGGTTAAGCATCCGACTTTCGCTTGGGTCATGATCTCGCGGTTTGTGGGTTCGAGCCCCGCGTCGGGCTCTGTGCTGACTGCCGGCTCGGAGCCTGGAGCCTGTTTCAGAGTCTGTGATTCCCTCTCTCTCTGACCCTCCCCTGCTCACGGTGTCTCTCTCTCTCTCTCTCTCCTAGAAATAAATAAAATATTAAAAAATAAAAAATAAATAAAAAAAAAAAAGAAATTCAGTATAGAAAGGAAGGGCAGCTGCCGAAAGGGCCATGGGAGCAGAGGGGGTCTTCAGCCTGTGGGGGGACCAGTGACAACTAAAGGAAGGACTGGGTTTCCTGAGGCCACTCCCAGGGTTAGAACCAGCGAGTTGCGGGCAGTCATGGACGGGGACTCCTCAGGGCAGGAGAAGTTGGGCACATGTGAGTTACAGAAAGCTGATCCATTCTTCTAGCTCTGAGTGCTTGTTAATTGCTTTCTTTTATCTGTTCACTTTTAAGTGCTCTGTTATTGTTTCTAATGTAAGTGATTGAAATTTAATGCTGTGGGTGACATGGATCATTACTTCCAGAATTTCACATTTCAAGCAGCTTATTTGTGTTCGTTTTTATATTGTATCAGTGTCTGCCTTCCCCGCCCTTCCCTATCCCCCAGCTCCCAGCGCAGCTCGGGATGTACTTCATCACCTATGGACTGCTCTGCCTTGTAGGTATCTGTTCTTGAAACCAATCAGCACTCTCAGGTGTTTACTTGGCTCCCCCGGCACCTGATGTTTTCACCACTTAGGAAGGGTTTGGTGAATGAATGAACCGCTTAGCAGTTGTTCCAAAAGTCTGTGCTTACTGGTGCTTTTCCTCTGCTTAGAATACCTTTCCGTTCCTCACTTGGCTTATTCCTCAAGCCTGATCTCAGGTATCATCCCTAATAAGTCTCTCCTGGCACCTCTTGCCTCCTGTGAGCGAGCTGGACGTCAGAACGGGACATCTGATCATCTGTTTTTACCGACACCAGGCACAGCACCAGCCCACTCAACTGTTTTAGATTTTAGGCAATGTAGGTAAAATAACTAGCACGGCAGGCTTTGAAAGTGCTTCTCAAAGTGTTTGAGACGTTAAAATAATGTTGGCTCCAGTTTTTTAAAATCTGCAAAATAAAAGCTGCAAATGTTTAATGAAGTATCTCCAACTGTGGCTGTATCAGCCATTAATTGTTAAAGTTCCTGTTCACACGCAGTCTGTTCCATTCTAGGACAATTTCAATTTGCAGGTTAGGCTGCACTTACAAATATCCTCCCCCACACAAGATGACTTCAGAGAAATGCCAATCATAAATTTGCTCAGTGACTCACGGCACACAGTATTCTCCGAAGCAAAATTAGAAATCTTGTCAGAAATGTTTACAGTTCTGCGTAAGACAGATGTCCTTAAGGCCTTCTGAGTTCCCCCTGCAGAGAAGAGAGCATGCAGGCACCGCTTCAGTTTGCCACAGTCCCCGCCATGACCTAGTGTCGTACACCTACCTGCCCTCGCTTGTTTACTTTGCTTGCTGCACCTTGGAAAGCCCTGGGTTTCTGACTCCTTGTCCTGGACTTTTAGAGCTCCAAGAGGGATTCAGATGATCTGAGGCCACCCCATCCCCCTGCAGATGCGAGTAGTGCAGTCTGGGCAGGAGAATGTTGCACATCAGCCCAAGCCAGTTTAACAGCAGCGGCAGGATGAGTCTCCGACTCCTACGCACCCTTACAGACGGTTAAATTGCAGACGCAGGCCCCTGGACCTTTAATTTGTCTCTGAATCTCCAGAGGAAATTGTTAATCATCTCTGGCCATCTCCAGATTCAAAATCCACGCTCCAGCGTAGTGCGTTCTCCACAAGATTACGGTCTCTTGACCCCCGTGGCCTGTAACCGCAGACACTCTGCTGGGGTGCAGG